CCTCTGTTGTTTGTCACTGGTTTTTGTGGGATTGACTTTACTCTGAGCTCTAAGGTAGACCCAGATTGGTTCCCCTTTGCCCACGTCACCACGATTGGTTTGAGGATTGACACATAACCAAATCAGAGCCAGTGAGGTGGTAGGGTTCATTTATTAGGATTAATATACAAAAAGTATAAGAAACTCATACAACTCAATAGCAAAAAACAAAAAACAAAAACAAAAAAACAACAACCAAATAATCTGATTGAAAAATGGGTACAGGAACTGAATAGATATTTTTCCAAAGAATACATACAGATAGGGAACAGGAACATGAATAGGTGCTCAATATCACTAATCATCAGGGAAATGAAAATCAAAACCATAATGAGCCCTGGCTGGTGTGGCTCAGTTGGTTGGAATGTCATCCTGTGCAATGGAAGGTCAACAGTTCAATTCCCACCCAGTGCACATACCTAGGTTGTGAGTTAGATCTCTGGTTGGGGTGTGTACAGGAGGCAAACAATAAATGTTTCTCCCCGCCCCCCCCCAAAGAAATATCACCTCACACCTGTTAGAATGGCTATTATAAAAAAAGAAAGAGAGAGAGAGATGAGTGTTGTCGAGGATATGGAGAAAAGAGAACCCTTAGGGGGAATGTAAATTGGTAGAGTCACTGTGGAAAACAGTACTGAGTGTCCTCAAAAAATAAAAAATAGAACTACCTTATGATCCAGCAATCCCACTTTTGGGTATATATCCAAAAGAAACAAAATCAAGATCTCAAAGAGATATTTGCACTCACATTATTCGCAATTGCCAAGATATGGAAACAATTTAAATAAGTGGCTGTCTACAGGTGAATGGATACAGAAATGTATGACACACACACAATGGAATATTATTCAGCCATGGAAAAGAAGGAAATTTGGTCATTTTTGACAATGTGGATGGACCTTAAGAGCATTATGTTATGGTAAGTAAAATAAGTCAGATAGGGAAAGACAAATATTGTATGATATCACTTGTATGTGGAATCTAAAAAACCAAGTTCATGGAAACAGAGTGTATGATTTAAAAACCATGAGATACTGGGAGACAAGGACCCTCTATTTGATGATCAATATAACAGTTTGTCCAGAGAGAGGGAGAAATGAGTCTGTCTGAGGTAGTGCTGGCCTTGTGAGGTGGCCAGGGTGGGCTCAGCACAGATGAAGGTGCCATATTAGCTGCTCTGCCTGGGTTAACAAGTTACTGAAGCAAGCTGAAAAAACTTACTCCTAAACGCTAAAAAGAACTGGGAAAAGTACCAGGGGAATGAGAAGTCAATAATGATGGCTGCCAGAGTCAGAGAAATGTTAATGTGATCAAAATTTAACCCCCTGGCTAGTGATACTCACAAATTACATGTGAAATACCAAAAAGCATGCTTTCAGGAACTAAAAGAAATAATGTGGTAACTACACAAAAGATGAGAAACAATTTCAAGTATAACATTGAACCCTTCAGAAGCTGAATAGACCCAATTGCCTCTGTAGTAAATTTACTTTCTTTTTTCAATTCATTGCTCTCTGGTCAAGTCCCAGAATCTTTTCTTGACTAAAATGGTTTATATCTGAGGTATGTAGCTGGAGCTAAAGACATTCTTTACTTTATTTCTCTGTGAAGAACACACACACACACACACACACACACACACACACACACACTACACTACACATACCTGGTACACACACATGTATGTCTTTTTATCCAAGGACAATTTTAAATTTGTTTTAGGAAGACATTATTTTAGCACATGTGTTGTGAAGAGACCCAGATATAATACTGAGGGCTTGGCTTATAGGAAGAAAAAAATGTCTATAGGAATGTATCAGATATGAAAGTCGGCAAGAGTGGTAACAACGAGTATCTAGAAAGTCAGACCCAACCTGCTTCCTTAGTGTTGTATGGTCCAGGGAAAATCAGGTGATGAGAAGATTTATAACTTTTGAAATAACTTTGCCTCACATTTTCCTCCAATTGGAGAAAGATTGCTAGTGGTAGTCCTTGGCCTTGTATTGTTTTATCAGCGACTTGGATGGCAATATGGAAAGCATGCTTGTTATACTTACCAATGTCACAAAGCTGGCAACGGTTGTTTGATGATAGACTCAATGTCCAGAAAGTTATAGGTAGACTGTGAAATGTGATAATGAAACTTATAAATAAAATTTAATAAAATTAAATATTCAACCAGTAAACATTAAAGTCAGTTAAGATGAAATCAAGTGCATTCCTAATGTATGCCCAGCGTAACAACTTTTCATGGAAGAAGCATGAATTAATAGGATGAGGAGGCTGATAAAAAACGAGTACAATATCAAACTGTAATAACTCAAGCCTTTTGTCCAAATTGAAGCAGGAAGGGGTACTAACTGCACTGCGTGGTTGTATTCTGGTCATACCTGAAATATTGTTGAATAAGTAGGCCCCAAAGGTGGTGGAAGAAAAGGATGGAGAGAGATCTGAAGTGAGTAGATGTAGACTCAACATGTTAGAGACTTTTCCCAGGAAAAGAGAGACTTTTTTCAGGAAAAGAGAATCTTGAGGGAGCATATGACAAGTCTGGTCAATTCATTGGGAGGGGAGTCATGTGGAAGGTGACTGTTGTTCTTTTGTCTGCCTCCAGAGGGCAAAAACAGGACCAGTGGGGTTAAAATGCAAGGTGGTGCCTTGCAGAAGACTGGGTTTAGAGTTGCTGAGAATAGGTTGTCTTGGCCAGATGCTTTTTTGCCTATTGCTGGTGGTGTTCAGGCTGGGGCTGGGTGTTTAGCAGCCATGGACATGGGAGCAAAGGTTCTGCTTTGGGAGGAAGAGCAGGCTGAAAACCTTTATTCTATACCAACCCTGTGATTTGATTAGCCCTGACAGTCATTCACCTCCCACCTGAATATTTTGATAAATGTGGGACAGATATTCTTGCTTAAAATGACTTAAACACATATGTATTGAGCTGCAATTTGCCGTTGTCTTGCTTTGAACAATAGGGAAAAAAGGTGAAACTACAGCAGTGAGTGGTTGAATTGTTCTGGAGAAATGTGTTTAACTGAAGTTGCAATGTTGCTTTTAGATCATATTATTGACTGAGATGGCTGTCCTTTACTCTAGTTTGTACTCCAGTGAAGTCTGAGCACTCTTCAAAACAGGATTAATTGGATTTTTGTCAATGTTCATTTTGAAGGCCGTATCAGATCTGGCTTAGGACTTTGGAACAAAAAGTAGATGCAAAGAGTTAATGCCCTCTATCTAAGGTTAAGATTGGGTTTCAAGATTAGAGGCAAGACTGAGCCTGCCTTTGAGAATCTAGCAACTCCAGCAATCGGCAGAGGAAGGATACTGAGATTGAGAACCTCGCTGGGTCTTCTATATATTACATAGCACGAGTCACAGGGATCTTTGAGAAAGAGGTTTAAATTGAAAATATTTAGACTTATATAAGTATTCAGAGGTTTAATGGTTTGAGACCTTTTCAATGCTACTTTAGAAATTTATGATTTCCATTGTGTTAAAGTTGCATTTTGTTGTTGCTTAATGCAAGTTATTTGAGATCCAGAAGTATGACTTCAAATCTTTTCTTTTAAAATATATATACAATTCAGTTTACATTGTATAGGCCAGTGGTCGGCAAACTGTGGCCCCTTGAGTATGGCTCTTCCACAAAATACCATGTGCAGGCGTGCACGTAGAGTGCGATTGAAACCTTGTGGCCACACTCCAGGGGCCAAAGAGCCGCATGTGGCTCACGAGCCACAGTTTGCCGACCACTGGTATAGGCAATGAAAGGGTTTGATGTCTGTATATTTTGTTATAGGCCTTAACTTTCAGGCATCTTCATTTGGGTGTAAATTTGTGTATTTGAGCAAATCCTAAACTGCTTTTGAAACAAAGTATATGTTATGACTATGGATCAATAATTTGGGACTTAGGGTAGCAGGTGACTTGAGGTGTCAAAACTAGATAATTCTATAAAATAAAGAGCTAATATGCAAATGGTTGTCATGCTCTCACGCCATCATGCTGTAACAGCTCAGACATTCAACATTGAGGGGAGAGGAATGGGAAATAGCCAGGCTGTGGCCCAGGAGAGGGGCAAGCCACTCACCCTTCGGTCCCGGGCACCAGTGGCTGCGGACCTGGCAAAGCTACCTGCCCATGGTCCCCTGCGACTGCAGCCGGCCTGGGCGAAGCTTGGGTTCTGGGTGCCTGCGGTCAGCCAGAGGGAGGGAATCCTTGGTCCTGGGTCCGGGGCGAGGCAGAGGCGGTTAGGGGCAATCAGGCCAGCAGGGGAGCAGTTAGGGGCGATCAGGCTAGTAGGGGAGCAGTTAGGGACAATCAAGCAGGCAGGCAGAGGTGGTTAGGGGTGATCAGGCAGGCAGAGGTGGTTAGGGGTGATCAGGCAGGCAGAGGTGGTTAGGGGCAATCAGGCAGGCAGGCAGAGGAGTTAGGGGCAATCAGGCAGGCAGGCAGAGGAGTTAGGAGACAGCGGTCCCGGATTGCGGTCCCGGATTGTGAGAGGCATTTGGACATACTCCAAGGGGTCCCGGATTGAGGAGAGTCCAGCCCGGGCTGAGAGACCCCCCTCTCCTCCCTTTCCCCTTCCCTCCCCCCGTCCCCCCCCCCCCCCCCCGTGTACGAATTTCGTGCACTGGGTCTCTAATAATATAATAATATTCATTGCCTTGGGTTGAGGCTCCTCTTCCCATTTCCAGAACAATCATTTTGGTCCAAGTCTTCTCTTTTCCCAAGGAATTTCAGAGAGCATGGCCCTCTGACACACTTTGTTCTACATCTGGCTGCTAGAATAATCAACCTTGAAACCTATTTCAATCACTTGATGCCTCTCTAACACCTGCCCCTGTAACTCCCCTATTCCACCCTGTGTTTTCTCACTGTATTATCTATGCCATTACTGCCCTCCAGGAAATACATCATTTATTCATTCACTCAAGAAGAAACCAATATTTGTTTATTGAGAATCAAGTGCTGGAGGTTTTTAATCCTCATAGCAACTTTAGTAGAAAGGCAATTTTGGCATTTAATAAATAAGAACACCCAGGCTCAGAAAACTTCAATACTTGCTCAACATCACTGGCTTTTGTCTGATTATAATATCCATGTTCTTTCTATTACACCATATTTCCTCTCATTTTGCAAACATCTATAATGGGTTTTTATTCTGTGCCAAAGCTGGTGTTAGGTGGTAGGGTAAGAAGACAAATGAAACACTGATAAAATGTATATGAACATTTAAAATTTAAATTTTTTAAGGCATGTTTTTATCTCCTTTGCCAAGCCTATCATTCAACACTTGAATTCAACCTTCCATTCTCTAAAGTTTGCCCCATTTATCTTGTCATTTAGATACTTCCACATACTTTACAATTAATTTATTCAACAAACATTTATATTGGGGTACTATATTCAAAGCACAATGCTAGGTTGATATAAAAATGGACAAGACCCAGTCAAATGGAAGAAATAAACAATAACTTCAGAACATGTGAGGACTAAAAACAATTATTGCGGGGTTGTGGGGGGGAAAAGCTATGAGACTGAGGGAAGGAAGTGATTTTAGTTGGAGCTCAAAGCTGAATAAATGATCTTAAAGTAGGGTAGAGGAATAAATATGCTTCTGGCAGAGTGAAACCATGTACAAAGGGACAGAGGTGTGCTTGAAAGTCACACCAATTCAGCTGGGGGCGGGGGCATGGCTCAGGAGTTGGGGAACCACCGCTTTTTTTTTTCTTTCTTACCCAAGACTATGACTTAGGCTTGGAACCCTGTTTTAGAAAGATGGCTTCAAGAGCCCCTTTGGGATCATTTGGAAAAAGAAGTCATTTAGGAGGGAGAGCATCACTTACCTGGATTCGTCATATTCTTTCACATCTCCAAAAAAGAATTGCAAATTCCACAAGGAAAAGAACTATTTCTCCATATTCTTTTATGTTCTTTGGGCTTTAATATGGTACTATGCGTTATAATTTTATCTGATAAATCATTATTTTTTTTTTTTAGGTCAATGAAAGTAATACATTACCTCTGGTACTGAGTACTGCTTTGTAGCTGAATAGTTGAGGCTGAATGTGATGATCCAGATAGACATGGGGAGGTAAGGGGAGGAAAGGGGCCTCTTTTGGACAACTTCTGTCTGATTACCTGGAAAATTTGAGCGGTGAAACGGGATGCAGTCGATGAAGCCTTTTGAGACTGTACAACAGGATACATTATATTTGACTTAATTAATATAAACCTGATAGTTTCCTAATGAGTCCTGTTGTGGCCTATGCATTATGCTATGTTTGATAATACAGAAATACAGATATGAGTAAGGAACAGTCTCTGCCCTGTGAGCGCACACTGGTTCCTGAAAAGAGGAAATAGACATTTTAACCGTGATATAATGAAATCTGTTTACGCTCTGTTAGCCTGTGAAGAAAGTGCTGCGGGAAATAGAGAAGGGAGTGACCTAATAGCTCACAAGATTTTTGTCGGGATTTAAAAAAAATTAATATATGTGTAAAAATGTCATACTAGTAGAGTCTTAGCTCCAATTATTACTCAGCCAACACTACCTTCGTATTGGTATTGGGCGATTTTTTTTGCAGAACGTGCAGCCCTCACCTTGAAGGGGTTGCTCGTTCCCCTAAGCCTCCGACTTCTTTCGTCTGGCGGAACCCAAGTGAGTTTTGGCTCTCCACGCAGACTCAGGTGTCAAGATTGGAGGCTCCCACAGGCCCAGCGCCTCGAGATCGCGGGGGCGGCTCTACTCGGAGGTTACGGTCGTGGGCGGGGCCCGCCCCCCCC